CCCCCCCAGACCCCCCCCTCAAAGGCTGTACGGTGTGCTGTAAACAACACCTGATGTCTGGAAACACACAGCACGTCCCATTGCTTTGGCCTTTCGGCACACACTGTGTTTGCTGGCGCTGCGCCTGCTTTTGAATCACCAGCGGGGCGTGCTGCGAAGCACCCGCCCTTGAAGGTGGCATTGCGTCTGCGGACTTTCTGAGCCGTTTGCTTTGGTCAAGAATGAACGAATGCCCCGTTGACCTAAGTTGAATGCAACAGCGGGCCGTCTCATGGTGATATCATCAAATATTTTATACATAAATAGTGTATAAGCTCCAAATGTTCAGCTTTATATGTGCAGAAGGCATTTGGGGCGACTTATGGCCGAAGTAATGAACCAGTACGGCCAACTGACCAATTATTCCATTTCTTCCAGGCACAGACCCCCATTTATTCCCAAAAAAGTAATATATTACCAAAAAAAAACACTGGCTGTGGGCGCTGTGGGCGCAAATGTCACATGCATGAGAGTCATCCAGAGCAAGATGTAACCTTGGTGTATGAAAGCAAGAAGAAAGTACATCAAAATGGCAACCGGCCGCGTGTTACAGCACTCACATAGATTCCAGACCACCCAATTGGCATCTGCGTTACATATTACAACGAATTGCCGAACCTTGGGCTTCTGGCAGCTTCAGCAGTCAGGAACGCTAGCCACATGACAGCAGGCGAAACGACGGGAAAGCATGCGTGGTCGGAAGTCCTGTGCCCCGTGAAAGTGCTTCCCAAACCGGGGGCCAGGATAGGGTCAAATCAACCTTGAGTCGTGTCAAAGTGCACAGGTTTGGCAATACACGCAGGGACTGCTGTGCTCCTTTCAGACACTGCACCTTCGAAGGAATTCCTTGCCTCCCGGCCGTCACCCCCTTGCCTAATTGAGCATGCATGACGTGGCCACCACAAGGCATGGCCGGGGAATGTTTGTGCTGCTTCCTGGCCATCATCTCGGCCTAGAATCAGTCAATGGTGGGATACGATGATGAAGTCCGTAAACAGACTGGCCCCCAGACTGGCATTGCCAAAAATACGTACTATACATGAATTTACTGTATAACATTAACGTGAAAGCAGTCGTGTACTGATTGGTGCCTGCCAGCAGAACACATCCTATATTGAGGGTTAGATGCATAGATACCTATTATCAACCACCCGATCACAACCAAGCCGGACAAGCTACTGGCCAGCACGATGGCGGCCCATGCAATGCTATAAAACAAGTAAGTTATGCCAATATATGCCAAGAAACAGCTATGGAGACTGTATGAAATCAATCTATGATGTCCACAAGAGAGCGGCGGACGGCCGATACCCTAACCATTGAAACCTCACCATTACGTTCTGAGCGAGGCGCGTGTAAACATCTACAAAACGGACGGACGTCTTCACCGCCCCAGTGATCAGCAGCAGAACGAAACATAGCTCGACGGCATGCTCGCTCATTTCCGCCCAACCCCACACAACCCCCAACTCCATCCCTTGTAAAGGCGACACGTACAACTCCCTAATCTTTAGAGTGGAATCACTGATTTGTTTTCAGACTATCAAATACGCCATATAAGAAATTAACCTGAAGCAAGCAGCAGTAATGGTGGTTTTATGTGCACCAAATACCCACCACTGCTTCCAGCTGGTGCTCTCATCAGCAGCAGCTGCATGCTAAGTGACAGGTCCCGGTTCACACCGACCGTCAAGTCGTCGTCTCAACAACCCCCCTCACTCGCGGAAGGTTGGAAACCTGCCTGCAGGCAGCTGCTTGGGCGGAGTTTCAGCAGCCAGCGCTCCGTCAACGCAATACACACACGCATACACAAACACACACACACGCGCGCGTGTGCCTCACTGAGGCCGCCAGCAACCATGCGGGCTCCTCTACTGCGGACTAGTGAGGTAGGTGGGACAGCAGTAGTCCGAGCTGTCCCTGTTGAAAATGCTGGCGTAACTGCGGGGGTTAGGTAAGCAAGGTAGGGGGACGGAAGCAAGGTTGGAAAATGGGCAAAGGTCATCACTTGTGCCGTGGTAGATACATACACACATACATACATACATACGGGTTCAAATCCGCCTGCCGGCTTCTTGGGTGTTTGAGAAGTGTTGAAATGGGAGGTGGCCCCCCATCTTATGGACGGTGTAGGACGTGATAATATCAACTTGCGAGCTGACCAGGAACTAAGTTAAGGCGCCGTTGATCCGCTAGATTTTGTTGGATGATGGTGGTGAGTTGCTGAACCCAACGAATACATTCTGAAGTCGGATGGGTTGAACGGATTAGGGTGCCCCTCTAGCAGGGGAGAGCAGGGAACTGCCTCGGGAAAGGGGGCCGCTGGTGAAGCTTAACCACCCTGTAACGATATACATACATACATACAATCCACGACCAATTAATTGAACATAAGCAGCTTTCTTCATAAACCAATTATTGGGGTCAGGAAGATTAACGTAGCTATCTACATGCAGGTGTGTCCATTGGCAGGCCCGCGGATGTGAAGTATCCTGGTTAGCACGGGATCTGTTATCCGCCAATCGGTTCTTTTCTGCAAACAGGATACCGCCACCACACGGAAGTACCCCCTATCTATCACCATGGAACAGTGACAGTGAAGCTATCCGCTTATCTAAGACATAACCGGATTGCGATGTGTTAGAACTGCAACGCAGAATAGCTACGTCAAGCCCGCCGCTATGACCAGCCAGCTGTAACAAGTAAGAGCAGATAAGAACGTGCGCGGGTGGCGCCATGAAAGGACTCCAAATGAAGTATTGGACGCGGCCCAGTTAATGGCCTTGGTGAAGGGAATCAATAATGTCGTACCACAGTACCACAGTACCAACTGTGGTAGTAATCAACCTCCTCGCTCGCTCTGGGCAAAGGTCCCCTACTAACGCCATCCCTCAACACCTCTTACCATTTCCCAATGCTTGCGGTGCCTCTGGGCCCCAGGCACAGGTCCTCCAACCTGTACGGCTTGGCAACAGCTATGCAGACCTTTCCGCCGTTGGCCATCGTCGCATTCCAGTTGAGGTTAACTGCTCGGACCCGGCCATGGCAAGCAGGCGAACGAGCGCGCGCAGGGGCCGTACGTGAGGGCCAAGGACACATCCAACACAGGAAAGGCAAGGGTTTTTTTTATGGTGTTGTCCATGGCCTTTGACCGGGCGAACGAAAGGAAGGGCCTATGCTATGTACCGTTCACACTTTTTGCGTACAGTGGGTTTGGCCGCACTTATGCTACTCATGGATGCCACCCTGCCAAAGCGTGAGCTGCCTCAATTTGCGCTTTGTTGCGCTATCTGAGGATTACTTGTCCTGTGGCGCAACCTGCTGAGGTGGTCCTACCTTTCAGTGTCTGGACTCCTGTGGCACCCCAGCTTGGGGAGACTGTTCTACTCGGACCCACGGCTGGATATAGGGTGAAGCCCTTGACCGCCGGCCTCATCCTTTCATCTGCAGAGAAGCGTGAACCACACAAGTGCAAACGTTAAGTTGTAAGCAGCACAATCGCGACCACGTAAGCATGGTTCCCGCTATTGGGCCGGCCGGGCGCTTTTTGAAGTTGGTTTGAAGCAGAGCCAGCAGGTGGAGCAGGGGACCCATATTTCCGGTCCGCTGAAATCCTTTAGTCAGGACGCCCATGCGCATCCTGCCTGGGACGGCTCTCAGGGATAACCTCCCTATCTACATGCCCCAGAACGGCTCCTGGAACACGGCCCTCAAGTTATCCTACCTCACATGCTACACAGCCATGAACGGAGCGGAAACAATAAAAAAATTCCATGAACGGAGCGGAAAGGGCTTTGATTTTAGGCGCCCGTGGAGAGGAAGCCACAATGCTCGACTTACCTATATACCATTCGAGTTTCGCGAGTGTGTCGTTCTTGCTCATGCAGGTGCTCTGCGTGAAGGGATGATGGTGTGAAGGTGGTGATGGTGTGAAGGTGGTGATAGTGTGAAGGTGGTGATGAGTTGAAGGTGGTGATGGTGTGAAGGTGGTGATGGTGTGAAGGTGGTGATGGTGTGAAGGTGGTGATGGGGTGAAGGTGGTGATGGGGTGCGCATAATAAGGGAGGCAGGTAGGCCTTGCCTGCTCCTGACGAAGGTTGCCAGGACAGTAGAAAACATATGCGCACATGGCAAATAGATTAGTCAGAACCCTCTCATACCCGCTTTGTCCCCTCGTGGAAAACCGTAATGTCCAGCAGACAAACGCGCTAGGCGGTCCGCGCTGTAACGAATCCTATTACACCGCGCTGTACCCTGCCCGCCATCCCGCCACATACACCCTCACCGGCACCACGAGTTCAGGTGGCAGCACACTAAGCGTGAAGCAGTACTCCGAGGCGTAGCTACGGCTCGAGTTGGTCGTGTACCACGTGGGAGATAACTTGTACGGCATGATGTTTTGCGTTGTGTTGCACCTGAAGTACAGTGAGACATGGAAAAGCCAGCGGTGGGCAGATGAACATGTAGCTGTGGAAGCAGCAGCGGCGATAGTAAGACACCATTGGCACGCAGTGCGCACCAAAGGTTACAGACGGGCTATAATGCTGACATGGATAAGGTTATCCCGTACCTACTGTGGCGGGCGGAAGGTGCAAATAAAGGCCGGCTGGGAAACCCACCATATTATTAACCTCTAGGTCTCCACAACCTGTCCCCTTCACACACGCCGTAGTTCAGGCCAAGGCGTATTGTTATTACTAATATCATCATTACTATTATCATTACTATTATTATAATAATAATAATAATAATTATTATTATTATTATTATTATTGTTGTTATTATTATTATTATTATTGTTGTTGTTGTTATTATTATTATTATTATTACTATTATTACTATTTCCCCGTATTTATCAAGCCATACGAATGCACAGGAGCGCTCGCAATAATTATTACTTATAGCACCTAAATCAGCAAAGTGCACTGAAGTATGCCTTAGGGTGCTGGGTGGACGGTATATTCGATGCGATAAGCGCCATAGGCGTGGGGTCTCAGGACCTGGTGGCGTCTCAAGGACAATTAGTGACGGGAAACATCCCCCGGCCCTCAGGCAATCCGACAAACTGCGACAGCACCCAGATGCTGAGCTTGTGACATGGTTAGCATGCGCATTTCGTTAGAATGCCTGCAACACCGTCGACAAAATTGTGTATGGTCTATAGACAGGTTCATCGTATAATAGATAGGATCAAGAGATAGATCAGGCATAGACGTATCGTATGGAATGCTCTATAGATTGTACCATGCTATTATAGATCGTCCTTAAAATTGATGGTCGGTAGACGTTCCTCCATTTTACAGACGGTGCTTGCACAGCTATAATAGCTGGCCGCTTCCAAGATGCTGGTCGAGCGCTTTGCGTGTATTTTTAGTTGGTATGTGTGCCGTACTGTGTACCAGCTACTACAGCAGGGCTCATAACATTTGCCGCTTCAGCCCATGCAGCAACCACCCCATGATACGACATGATACGACACCCCGTCAATATAGGTACTCGTCATGCAGGCTTTAACTTACGTGCAGTTGGGGAAAGGAAGTGGAGGAAGTGGAGGAGGAGGAGGAGGAGGATCGTAAATGAGGCAAAGAACAGCCGCCTCCACATCGATGCAGGCCGGAGAAGCGCCGGGGAGCGTTTTGACCGTCACCTCGTACCCCGACAGCTGCGGCTTGCATTCACCTTCACCCGTGATGATCGCGAGCCATTTGACAACCTTTTGGTAGATTTCGCTGCGGACTGTTTGCTCAAGCAAGGCGAGATCGCCTTTAAGGAATTTGCCGCACACAATGGCCTGCGTGCCAGTGCATGAGGTACTATTTGGATATGGGCTCTTGATGGTGACGTTGAAATTTTGAAGTATGCTGTTCATGTCTTCGGAGACAGCCGTTTGGAAGGCGGTGCAGGTGGCGTTGTCGAAACGGTAGGGTGCGGAATCAGTCGGTGGAGTCAGCTCTGCAGCGAAACAGAGTTCGCAATCGAAAAAGCCAGGCACAAATGGAGGGGGTGCCGGTGGGGGTGATGGAGGTGGGGGTGGCGGCGGCGGCGATGGCGACGGTGGCGGCGGCGGCGGCGATGGCGACGGTGGCGGTGGCGGCGGTGGTGGCGACGGTGGCGGTGGCGGCGGTGGCGGCGGTGGTGGCGACGGTGGCGGTGGCGGCGGTGGCGGCGGTGGTGGCGACGGTGGCGGTGGCGGCGGTGGCGGCGGTGGTGGCGACGGTGGCGGTGGCGGCGGTGGCGGCGGTGGTGGCTGTGGCTCAACAACGATATTTTGTGGGCAGCAGTCGCAGGCTGCGTCATACGTCGCCACCGTACAGGTGCCTGCGGGGAGACCGGCCGACGTGCACAGCTGTTGCAGGGTTGTGCAGCCCTGGCCGCCGCGGTTGGTTCTGAGGACGAGGCACAGCTCTGCATTCTGGGCGGTCTCCGTGGTGAGGCCCAGGTTGGTGATTCGCAGAACGGCCGAGCCAGGCGGGCCAGTTGCCGGCCTGTCAAATGCCGGCGCGATCATGGTTTTTCTGCCATTCACACTGGCGATGACGGAGGCCCCGGCGACCAGGCAGCTGCTAGATACGTTGAACTGCGCACAGTGCACGACGATGACGAAAAAAAGGGAGGAAGCAAGGGCAACATGCAGGAAAGGGCGATATGGTGAGGGATTGCTAAAGCAGTATAGAATGTACCGCGCTCCTGCAAAATGTGACATTGGCTTTTTTTCGCAGGTAAGTATTGCAAGCTGGAACTTGGTTCACGGCATTGTACAGACGAAGGAGCGACGGGGTGCTGCTAGGAGCGACGGGGTGCTGCTAGGAGCGACGGGGGGTGCTGCTAGGAGCGACGGGGGGTGCTGCTACCCCGTAAGCCCCAATATTCAGCATCTTGGCGGGTCGCTCCGCCAACAGCCTAGCACGTGGTAGTAAGGTGCATGTGAAACAGTGTAGAACAACGTAATCCTCTATCGATTTTGCTTGGAAGCACCTAATTTGGATATTATCCTGCGAACCTTCTAGTCATCACAAAGCGCACGCGACGCACAAGAGAATCAGACTTGCACGTGTCGTGTATGCGATATATAGTGTATGCACTCTGGTATCGGGCTTACCTCTATTTTGTGCAGGTCAGCGTTGCAGCAGGGGCCAGAACAGGAAAGGGGATCCAGCTTAACCTGGATAGTAAAGCAATAGATCCGATTGGCCACAAACCTCCATACCGGATTCAGCCGATAAGGGCCATTCGTCGTGTTGCATTTGCGGTAGGGAAAATCTGGTGTTGTACCAGTCTGGACGCGTGAAGGATCATAGTCATACTCCTGGGCATCCGCACCAATGGCCCTGAATGGAATGAAACAAAAACATTAATTCTTACGTATATGCAACACTGAGCAGCAGGATCTGCCAAGCATGAACTGCGGGAAAGTCGTTTCACTTTGGTCATCTACAGCGATAACAGAGGATCTTCTGACAAGAAAACATTAGGAATAAATTAATAAATAATATTAATCAAATCTTGGCGAAAAAGGGAAGCGTAGGAGCAAAATATTGTCTGCGATCCTTACCACCCGACCGCCAGCGTTGACAAGAAGAGGAAATGAATTATCCTCTTTTCCATCTCAACTTGAAGTGAGTGAACCAAGTATGCTTTCGTCGATGCGCATGTCCATCTTTAAATTGTGTCCTCTACGGAGGGCCCTATGGCGTACCTTGAAGGTGGGCGGGTGGCGCTACCCGTTAGGTTCTTAACGGTTTCGGGATCAGGCTGCGGAACGGGCCGCAGAACACCTTTATGCCGGTCATTTATTCCAGCCATATTTTATTTTTGTTTCTTTATTTTCATGTGTAAGAAAGTTGTGCATCCATCAGGGAGATACGACTATTAGTGTGTTCAGTCGAGCCCCGGACGCCCGACGTAACATTTGGTGTGGTGTGCGTCAACAGCCGCCTCGGCAATTCGCATGCTCATCCGCTGGTACATTTTTTTGACGTCATATTACGAACACATGCTCGCGCCACTGAATTGTGCCGCACGGTTTCGTGACTTTGTGCGTATCCAACCACGGCCGTATGCTGCAAAGGAGAAATTGTTGGGGCATCCTTCCCAAGTTCCATCTTGTGCAATCCGAATACTGTATCATATACATCCTCCCATCATATGCCTGAAGGGCAAAAAAGACCTCAAACGTAGAAACTGCAACTTGCGATGAAACGGCCCTAGACTACATCGTCAGGTTTCGACAGAGGTTGCTTTTGGCACGTTGCTCCGTTTCTTTAGGTTCAACTTTGGGGCGACTCCCCTTTGACTCGCTCTCACCAGTCGGTCCAGCATCAACCAAAAGGCATGCACATGCATGCTATTAAAGGTATACAATTGTTACACAATATACTTATAATACGTTGTCCCTCATGGACGCGCTCGTGCTCAAGAAATCATTGTGCTTTGGCATCGTGCTCGGGTGAGGCGTACAGTCATAAGAATCCTGAACCTCATCAAGTTTTTAACCATATGTTACTTTGCAGAATGTTTTGGCGTGAATAATTATGGATCGGTCGAAAGGTTTTTGAAGTTTCTTCTACCACTTTCGACAGCAAGAACCAGAGCGGATCCAAACCAGCATAAAAGGACTTCGGCATTTGCCAACGTTGTTACACATTTATCTTGAAAATTTTATATGCAGGTCGCAGAGCTCTTGACGGGCAGCGCGCCAGTGCTATTGGTGCAATTTTGATGCAGACAAGAAGGACAACGACGAAAGTCCGGACAGGCAAGCAAAGCATTCGCAACTTCCCAGCATAAACCACTTAGTGCTTATGAGTCTGGCCCGCGCTATATCGACAAGCAAACCAAGCCTGCGGCATGGCCGCCCACAGGTGGTTTTTTTCTTCCCTTTGTTGCACAACCCGATTATTGGCCTGAGTATATCAAATAGGGGGGTCCTTGTGAAGCAGCTGCCCGCGTTTCCAAAGCACGTATGGTGTTGGATTGTAAGGTGCCCAAGTACGTTTGCGAGGAAGAGAATTTGGCCAGGCTGGAGAGGAAAGTGCAGTGGCATATTGGAATGTGAGATTAACGTAAGCGAGTTACAGGGCGTTTTATTGCACGGGCGAATTTACGTGCAAATCTTTCACCGTAGCATCAGTCAGTTCACTTCTTGGAACGAACATCAGCATAGGTCCAAGCCCTCTCGCTTGGAGGGATATGCAAACAAACATCCTGATAGGGGTAAACTCGCACGCTACCGAGCATTCAACCGAGCACATGCATGCTTAGTTGAATGGTGAGATGCGACCCCCCCTTCATTTCGTGCTCGGCAAGCCTGCCACCGCGTACCGGATATGTTGGCGATGTTACAGAGACGCTGCACCTTGGTTTCTGTGCGCATTGCGTACGATGCTCGACCCCGCCGACCAAAACTACACGTGCCCAACTGAAGACATTCCCGGTGGTTGTGCAGCAGCTCTTGAGGCTGTTGCTGGCTGAAATCCATCCTGAGCTGTTGCAACACGGCTAACGCGGGCACGTCCCTATGCACAGCAAATAGCTGTTCCAAGCCAACAGCGGCGTCCATGTCACCGACACGGCTCTAAACGTCTTATCTGTTCTTATGTTTAATTAAGTTTATGTATGTTATACTTTGCGCAACTTTGTAATTTGACTTTGCTCTGAACAAGATGCTGTATACGTTGCACTACCAAAAACGCGACCGTTTGCTTGCACACAACTGCCTCTTCGCCAGACGCTTCCTCTTCCCGCGGCAGTTTCACGAGCCCAGTCTTGCAAGCTACGACGTAGGCTTTCGGTGCTTTCAGTTACTGCAAAGCAGCCACGCAATAGTCCAGCCTGCATGCCGCGTGCGGCTGTGGCCAACATGCCCACCTGCGCAACGCGCTGGCGCACCTCGTCCTTTTTCGCCAAGAAAATTTATATACACTTATACACGCGCATTTTGCGAATCGCACGCGCGCATCCGCGCGGCAAAATTCGCTCCTGGCTTTGGGGACGAAGTACGGAGGGTTTATTCGGCAGAGTACGACCGCTCACATTTCTGCGAGGGGCTGCTTAACCATAGCCGTGCTCCCGGACCTTTCATGGTAACGTCTTAGAGCGATGTCCAGTTTAGTGTACCTGCCCATGCAGTGTACAGACTGCACCGCGTGAGATGGGGCCGCACACAACAACATAGCTACAAGCACTTTGAAACTGAATTGTCCTCTCCGCTCTGCCTGCAAGCACGCAACTCCCTGAGCCATGCATGCACTAATCATTATCCTTCAGATCGGCTGACTACCGGTGCCACCAAAGGCATTCCTGCACATGCATTCGTATACACAGAAGATAAAGTGCTTCACAGGACTCCTTTTGGACAGAAGGTGCTTCACACGGAACGGCGGAAGGGATGTTGCTACCTGACATCCTCTCATTTGTCAGCGACGTCTTTGCTCTTGGTCCAATGCTCGCCGTATCGCTCTCCGCCCCGCCGTTGCCACCGCCGCCAGCCCCCGTCGTACCTCCTCCTCCCTTGAACGAGCTACAACCTCGCCTGCGTCCACGGCCGCACCCGTTCCTCCCGCCCCGCTCTCCCGTGCCTCTCCCCCCGCTGCCTGCTGCTGCAGCTGACCCAGCTTCTCCCAGCGTGCCTGCAGCAACGTGCGCAGCACCTGGGCTGCACTAGGAGAGACTGGCGCCGAAACCCCCTCCATTACGGCCTCCTCGTCAGAGGACTTGTCGCCGATAGGAACCATTTTCCCAGCCCCTTTTCCCGTACCTAGGCCCCATTCCCCATTCTGCGGGATTGCTGCCTCCAGCCATCGCAGCACTGTCCAACGCTGAGCCACGTGGTCCTGCTCTCCGCCGTCGGAGCCTGTGTACGGCTGTCGTACATGTACTTCAAGTCGGCTAGGCAACCCGTCCTTGGCGCGAGCTGTCAGCCGTTCCCGGATTTCGGCCTCTAGGGTGCCCAGCGCCGCCGCCACTGCCGCCGTCGTCTCTTTGCCCGCGGCTCTGACGACCGCCTTCGCGACGTCCGCCGCCGTGACGTCGAACGTGTCGCAGTCACGTACGGGATCAGAGCGCGTTTCCGGCACGAAGCCGTACTCCAGCAGCCACCTGCTCCGATGATATATTCCATTGACAGCCAAAGGAGCCGGGGATAGAGAAGCCTCAATCACACGCCCACTCAGCCTTAGCCTCGGCCTCAACAAAACCAAATATTCGTAGCTGCCCGCACTGCCTGTGGCATGCCGCCGCTAAGCCGCCTGTCTTCAAGCTTAGGAGGAGATAACGGAACGACGTACTGCAGCTAAGTACCCCTGCCCACCCGCCCTGGAGTCTCTGGACACCCGCTGTGCGGTGTCCCCCCCGTGAGGTACTCACTGCGGCCCGTGGCACGGTCCTTGCCTAGCAGTATGTACATACATACGTACATACATACATACGTACATACATACGTACATACACACGGTAAAACTGCTCGTCGGTGCCGCCTAAGTGGCTCCCCCGCCGCACCTGTCAACGCATGCGGGTACCCCTCCCTGGTCCTCTTCCACTGGCCCCAGGTAGTCGAACAGCAGCGGCTGCCCCGGGCTGATGGGCCGCAGCGCCACCAGGGCAGCTGCCAGACCGGAGCCGGAGGCATCAGGCAGCAGCTGCGAAAGTGCGTATGGGGGAGAAGGCGGGGAGCAGGGGAGAGAAGGAGAAGCTAAATCGAAAGCAACATCATCACGGATGCGTGTTTAAGCTGCAGCATAGCTTTCTGCGCCATGCCGTGCATCGGAAGCGAGGAGGGGAAGGCAGCTGCGGTAGGTAGCGGCGGGTATTGGTGAGGGCGGGTGGGAATCTTGATACCGCGGAGATGGTGCGATGGATGGAGAGGTGTGGCTAAGCACAAGGCGCCGGGGCACGGAGGGTTTTTGATGGAGAGAGGTGCTGGTGTGCGGTTGCTGAGTGGTGATGAGGCCGCGGGGAGAAGGATTAGGCTGGAGCCCCGCCAGGGGTTACCTGTAGCCCCGCCAGGGGTTATCTCGGCTCCTCCGTTTCGTGCCCGCTCACACAGGCCCCCGGCAGGTCCCCCTCCCCACACCCGCCACCTCCCCACGCCCCCTCCCGCTTAAACAGCCCTTGCAACGCTCCCCTTTCCTCCGCGTCCGCACCGCCTACCTGGTACGCCACGTTAGCGCCTTCAGGTCCGTCAAATGCGTGGTTGGCAAGGTCGAGGATGGGAACAAGCACACCAAGCTCCTGCAGGACCCGTGGGTCAGTGGGGGACATGGCACACCTGGTTGCACGCATACCGTACATCTAGCAGTAGCTCAGTAGCTCATTAGCTCAACACTAACGGCCTGCTCTGCACTCCCCTTTCCCCCCTTTCCCCTCTTCCATTTCCTTCATCCAGCTTCCACACTTAAACCCATCCATGTGCTGTATGTGCGCCCTTCCTTCCTTTCCCCACCTCCAGCTGCACCGCATTCAGCAGATGCCTCCTGTCCTCCAGCCTTTTCCTGTCGCGCCCCGCGTACCTGCACCCAATCTGGCATGACCACAGCCGCACCGCCACTGGCGACGAGGCCGCCTTTGCCCTGCCGTACTTCCTCCACACCCACCGTCACACTGCGTGTCTTGGCGACAGCGTACGCCCAATGCCAAAGCGGCAGCCAGAGGTCGCCTCCTCCGCCTCCGCCGCCACCGCCGCCGCCACCGAGCCGCGCCGCAGCTGACCTCCCACCCGGGAGGGCCGTCAGGACGTATCGAGCCAGGTGGTCGGCGAAGAGGGACAGCTGCGCACGGCGCTTGGCGGCCAGGCGGCGGAGCGAGGGGAACTCGGACAGTAGGGAAGCGACCCCCGGGTCACTGAAACCAAGGGCAGTTGCAACGGTGGCCATGACACGCCGGGTCTCTCACACGCCACAAGGGATGCGGGGGGGGGGGGAAATCCGAGGGGCCCGGGGCAGCGGACCGCGCTAGGGACCCGCAAAAAGGGGCCCGGGTAGCGGGAACTGGCGGGAACGGCCCCAACGCGCCGTCCCTGGACCGCGGCCTAAGGGAGTTGTAAGCAGCCGGACAACTTCCTTCCCTGGAGTACGCCCCGGGAGGTCCGCCAGGAAGGGGATGGAAAGAAACATTCCCAGGAAAGCCCATCCCAAGATTTTCAACATTGCGTGTTGAGGGACAGCCCAGGGTAGAAAGGGATAGAAAAAGGGTGTAAAGGGATAGAAAGCCTTTTTGTTTTTTTTTGAGCTGCGGTAATGAGCTACGGAAAAGGCACCAGGACGGCCTCCTTCATTCATTCGGGGGCAGTAGCCAGTGGATATAGCCAGCCTGGATCCAGGTGCCGTACGAGGGCCCGACAGCGCACAGGTATACATAGAACGTTTATGGACGGATGGCCGGGAGGAAGCGGTTCGTGGATTTCGTTTTACGATGCGGTACCTGACGTGGACCGGCAGGCCGCCGTACGACCTAGGCAGCAGGCACAGGTAGTCTGCCCAGGGAGAGCGCTCGCCGTGTGCAGCAACTTCGTACGACAGGGCGAGCGCGTCGAGGAACATGTCCGCATCCTCCACGGCTCGCCATGAGCCGACGGCTCCCCCGACCATCCGGGCTGTGGATATCGTCCAGGGGAAGGGCAGCCGACACACACACACACACACACACACACGCACACACACACACACACAGACACATACACAGAGAGAGAGAGAGACACACACATGTAATCAAAGATAATAAAGAGTTTTAGGGCTCGTTGTCCTTCGTACGTCATTTCCTTCCCCAACCCAGCCTCCCTGCCTGCCTGCTCCTCTCTCTACCTCTCCCAGTGCTACCCCCTTCCTTCCCCCGCCCCTCCGCCCTCCCTTCCTTCCCCCGCCCCTCCGCCCTCCCTTCCTTCCCCCGCCCCTCCGCCCTCCCTTCCTTCCCCGCCCCTGCCCCCCCCCCCACCTAGCCCCGACCTCACCTGCCCGGAAGGTGGCAGCCGACAAACCCAGGGAGAGGGGCACAGACAGCACCACCTCCCCGGCCGCTAGGGCCCGTGAGGCCTGAGGGAACGAGGCAGACCATTTTTCAGATAGAGTAGGTCAAGGCAAGGTGACCCATAGAGCGTGGTTGGGTATTAGGGGCATAATACATACATACATACATACATACATACATACATACATACATACATACATACATACATACATACATACATACATACATACATACATACATACATACATACATACATACATGCATACATACATATGCACCGCACAACCCTTTCCACACCAGATAGGTAACTCGCCGGTACCGGCTACCTGCATGCCCGGATCCCTGCAGGCTATCCACCACCGCCAGCTGACTCACGTGCAGGCCCCTCATGCCGTTCTCGTCGGAATCCAAGTGCACTTTGGACACGTCGCCCCCGCTGGCGGTGACCCATGCCGCCACCGAGTCGAAGAGGGCCTTCAACCCGGCCATTTCCCTGCTCTTCGGGCCAGAAGATGGCTCCGGGGTCCCCCCCTCTGCATTGCCACTGCTGACGTCAGAAAATGAAAGTGCATATTCACTGCCGGTTCCGATGCTATTTTCACGACCATTACCGTTTCTGTTCCTGGTGTCGTTACTGCACCAATGCAGCAACCGAGCCAAGTCGCTTTCCGTGTAAAATGGGGATACAATCTGTTCTTGCTGAAGTTGCCAAACCAGGGGGTCCGACCAGTCAAGCTCCTGTTCAACACTAGCGTGGGTTGCTGACGTGTTTTTGGTAAGGGGGTAGTATTGATGAAGGCGGGGGCCGGTTTCGGAGGATGATACCCCCTCCAGCAGGCGAGCCAGGCCATGGATGGTGGCAGTGGAGAGGTTGATAACCTTGGCGCCAATGGGATGGTTTGCTATGGCCGCCAATGACTGCGGTAAATGAGGGTCATTGATGGGGCAAAAGGGTCCCAAATGCTTCCTAGCATTCGTTGTACAAATGCTGGCAAAGCGCATGTCCTGACTAGAAACGTTCTGCGTCAGCACGTGCTCGTTTGGTGCTTTTGCATGCATATGCAATATGACGTCGTGCTAATGACATCGTTACCTCTGGATTCGTGTATGGCATGACCATGGCAACGACCAGAGCTGCAACCCCAGCCGAGAACGCCAGCAAACCAAATCTCTCAACGGATGACATTGATATCAGATTTAAAATAACAGTCTGGAGCCGGAAGCCATCGAGACAATCAAGACACGATAGTCAAACCAGCAGCCGGAAGCTCAGATTCACGCCGCCAGTATCAAATGCTGGCGTACGCAGATAATGGTGTAATAATACATGATGCATGTTCACAGCGTTCACATATGCATGACCACTTGTGTTGGGTGGCCTAATAGGCCAAAGGATAGTATCCTTTGTGACTAAGCAACCCTTTTAGTCACGACAGTCGCTCAACAAAAATGCACGGTGCGAGAATTTTGATGTGTATTGAGTCAGCCCATTTGGCTGGGGGAGGTTTTGTGCTGCAACTTTAACGCGTACCGGTATGCGATCAGGACTACTTTTAGGGCGCCGCACACAAGAAGATATGTATGTGAGAGCGATTTTTAGTCCAGAAAACAAGCACCACACGAGCCGCGTGTTCAAGCTAGGGGAGAGGTCGTAAAATGGTTTCTGTAACGATAGTAATCCTAATAAAGCCATCGCAGCTACTTATTGTCGTTTAGCACCTTCTAAAGGGCCCAGCCTTCTTTCTTAGTTCCCTATACACGTAATGCCCAACACTGCTGGCTGCGAACTGCAGTCGCACCTTTGCAGCCGCTTTTCTAGGATCTCGATAATACCTTCCCATCCTGGGGTACTTCCAAGCCCTCCCGAACCACGCAATAAGCGGAAGCAATTACACAGATTGATCGCCTTCGCTGCCTTCTGCAACAGGCATTTGCAACCGCTGCCCGTCCAAGCTGCTGACAGGCCAACCAACACTCCTAAGCATGCATTCCACAAGTTTCGCGAGCCGCTCCTCACACAGAAACACGCTCTTCCCCTATAACCCCGCACAACAAACGGGGGACAGATCCTCCCGAGGCGGCGCTTCGCGAGCTGTCCCGCCCACCTTTCCATCCGTACAGAACCTTGTCGATGGCCATACTACATACAGAACGGAAAAGGCTAACGGGTTTCGCGATGGGAGCAACAGCTGACTGCCGTACCAGTTATAATTGCGAGCGCAATTTCGCTATCGGGCTCGTGGCCTCGCTATACTGTATCATTCTTATCCTCCTCCCCCGGCATTCCAAGCAGTAGCCATATTCTGCACAGCGGCTCATGCTCCGCCCCCACATTGTTCACAGGTCGATAACGGCTAATATTGACCGAAAAACAACACTCATTCCGCCCCAGTGGCCCTCTCACATACATACAAAACGTATACCCAATTGCGCACTCGCTTGTTGTGTGCGCATATGGGTACCGCCATGCGAAACAGAAAACGCCCAATGAGGACGCAGGGGAGACATCCTGCTACTGACGTCCTTGTTTCCGCATCTGCGTTTGCCGTCGTTGCCCCATAAACATGGTGTCTAAACTTCCTGCATGTCCTCGCGTCATGAAGACGAATCAGCTCCCTAGTCCTCCATGCCATCTTCATCATCATCATCGTCGTCGTCGTCACCATCACTCGCCTCCCCATCCTCGCTTTCCTCCTCCCCATCCCCGCCCTCCTCGTCGCTCAAGGACTCGCCCTCCTCCCCCTCCGCCTCTTCCCGATTCATGGCGTCGAAGTCAAAGTCACCGTCGCCATCGCTGTCGCCACCGTACGGATGCGGTGCCTTCTTCTTGGTCCCAGGCGGCGCGACTTCCTCGCCTGAGAGACGAGCCTTCTTCAGCCGCTTCTTCTGCGACCGGGCAAGATGCGGGTTGAACTGGCCGTCCTCGCCGTACAACGCCGCGTTCTGGGCGCCACCGCCCGCCGCCGCCTTGGCGGCCTCCCGTCGCTTCAGCGCCGCCGCCGCCGCCAGCATATCCTCCTCGTCCTCCTCCATCCCTATCACGAGGGTGTTTATCGTGTCAGGGGGTGCGAGTCGCGGGTGGGAGGCGACCATGCAGAGGGCAAGGAAGCAAATCCAGAACACAAGCAGCTCGCGCTACCGACCGCTGCCTCCTCCCGTAGCCCCCCCCGGCAACCCTACCCGAAGGCCCAGACTCCTCCTCCTCCTCCTTGTCGTCATCCGCGTCCATGGCATCGAGATCCGCCTTGGCTGCCCCCGCCGTGGGCGCCTCAAAGTACGACGGCGCCGTACTATCCTCCAGGGAGGGCAGGTGCGCAATGACAGCGGAACGCTCATTGGCAAACACCTCCTCGGCGTTGAACTCGGCCGCGTACGTCGCAACCACCTGAGGGCGGGTGTGTATGTGTATGCGTACGTGCGTTTTGGGGGTAAAAGACGAACCACGAGCGAGTGAAGCGTTTTGGGAGAAAGGTTCCCAACAGGCAGGGAAGACCGAAAGATGGCAGGGAGAACGAGTCGCCAAGGTAAATGGAGAGGAGATGCAGGCAGCGGCGGGTGCGTGCAGGGGGTGAGGGTAGGGGCAAGGTAGGGCGGACGACCCCAGATGGGCTACCGCAAGGGTCTGTTGGGAGAACATGCAAACAGCAAACAGGCAAACAGCAACAGGCAAACAGGGCAGGGTCTACTCGCCTGGGCCTCCTCCAGACCCGTCTTGGGGCGCTCTGGCGGGGTGGTGTAGTAGGGGATGCGACCGTCGTTCCAGTCCTGCAACACGACCCTGGCCGCAGCTGCCGAGTCCGGGGTGCCGCCGCGACGTAGCTTGCCCCGAGCCAGAGCAATGTGGTGCAGGAACTCGTCCGGGCTGGAGAAGGCCTGAGCAGCGAGGGGGTTGAGGGAAATTACACGCAAAATAAAGAAGCAAGATGAAACTGCGAACTTGCCAAGGGGAACCAAGACATCCACAAGGGACCACGAGGGGAGAAGTGGGGTGGTAGGTGTGGCGGGTGGTTCATGGATGGGAGGATCTGCCCACGGGCGGGGGCATGATCGCCGGAGCACCCTGGAAAAACCCCCGCCGAAACACACCCACGAAAACACGCAACAACTGCCGCCTGCGCCTCACCTGCCCTCGCAGGCAAATGAAAGTTAAGCCACAACTCACTCTAAGCCCGTCGTGCGCCACCAACACCAACACCGGACTCGTTCGGCACAAGATAGTCCCCGCGTCCACTCGTCCACTCCCACGTATTCGTGTACGACTTACGACAGCAGCCAGCACCACCGACCCAGTCTGCATTATCCCCCCTGACTATACGGCACGCCCCTGTCGTACCTGGATCTTGTACAGCATCATGAGCTGCTTGGCGGGCACCCGCTTGAGTATCTCCGCCACGGGCGTCAGAGGGTCCGCCAACTTCTCAACCTGTGTGTGGGGTGGGGGAAGAGGGGGTAAAGAGGGAGAGGGGTGGGAGTTGGGGAAAAATGACGAACCACGAGCGAGTGAAGCTGATGCCAAGGTAAGGCTGCTGCGGCGGATGTGAAGGAAACATAACTAGGGTTGTGGGGGGGGGCATGCGTCACGTGTGTGTGTATGTGTATTTCTGCGGAAGATCCAATACCGGCGTCCAGGAATTGAAAAGCAAGCGCGCCGCGACAGCAGCCAGCACATCCCGGGGGCTGCTCCAGGCCCAACCGCAGCCGCTCCGGTGAAATGGTAACCTTTGCTTTCTTCCCAAGAACTGCTGCTTGTGCCGTCAACAAGGTGCCAATTTGTTGGTATCCGGCAGCTACATTTTCTTTCAAAAGGACGTGGCAGCCGTGGTGGTGGCTGAAGGCCTCGTTCCGCACCTTGATGGCGTTTCTGAGGGCCGCCGCCGCGTCGCTCTCCGCAGACGCAAACACCACACCTGGGCTGTCCAGCAGCTTGATGTGCCTGTCCAGCACCACCTCCTGCACCGCCTTGGTAACTCCAGGGGTGTTGCCAACCTGTGCTTGCGGGGGGAGAGGGGGTGTGTTGAGGGGTGACGCGGGGGGATCTGTAGCAGAGGCGGTGAAAGCGCCTGTGAGTGACAACCATTTGCATACCGGGCTTGTGCGTGTGTGTGTGTGTGTGAGAGAGAGAGAGAGCAAATAAAGCTTTAGTGAATATATACAACACGGGCTGTCGGGGCAAGTATGTATGTATATATGTATGTGTGTGTACGAATAGGGTAATGGACGAACTGCGTCGGTGTAGAAACGGTGCGCTTGAGCGGGCTGGTACTGGTACGGTACTGGTACTGGTACTGCAGCTCTCCACCCGCCACCCGGAACCCCCCTCAATGTCAACCCACCCGCCCATCATCCGCAACGGCTCCCAACAACCTATTGAGAGCACCTCACTCCTCATCAAGGCTCGGATGCCTTTTCCTCTCCCTCCCCACCTTCCCACCCACCTCTGTCACCACCGTCCTTCACCCTCACCTGTTCCCCTTTCCCTCCCCGCCACTCCCTACCCTCACCTCCCCCCATACCCCCACCCTGCACACCCCCACCCTCACCTGCGCCACTCGCGCCCTCTTGAGCGAGTTGATGAGAGAGGACTTGCCCACATTCGGCAACCCCACCACACCGACCGTGATGGCCGTCTTGATGCCCGCATTGCGTGTGTAGTTCTTCAGCAGCTGCAACAGCGTCTCGGCGCCCAGACAGGCGCTGACGGACAACAGATCCGAGCCACTGCCGCCACCGCCACTGCCGGGCCCCCCCAACCCGCCACTCTTGGCCGGCATGCGCTTCTGCCCCAGCCCCCGGTCTTGTTGCTGAGTGGAGCACTTGAACGCCACCGTGGGCAGCTCCTCGCGGAAGTACCTGAGCCACCGCTCACCCACCTCCCGGGGGACCAGGTCTGCACAGGGAAGAGGCCGCAGCGGGGGGACCCGAGGGAGGGAGAAATCCGGATCGAGGGGAAGGGGGGGGGGTAAAACGAACCGCGGGCGGGTTCCACCACCACGGGCGAAAGCCGGGGGATGGGGGGTTAATTGGTTACGGAGCGAGCAAGTGAACGGAATGTGGTTGGATGGCTGGATGGATGAATCGAGCGTTTTAGACGTCCCACCCAAAAGGACCGACCAGCGGAAGGAAATAACATTGATGTAATTGTCAGGGAGATGAAGTCAGGGAGGAAATGGATGACGTAGGGGAAAAAACAAACCACGAACGAGTGGAGCTGCTGCCAAGGAAAGAGTATACGTAGGGCGAATATGAGAGCTGAATATATACCGTCATTGTCATGGCGGCGAAAAGCAGGCAGATTAGTTCCGTAGTTAGCAGGCCGGCAGCAGGCCGCCAGCTACTACGCAGGCAGTATGGGGTCAGGTGCTCACCCATCTTGTTGAGCAGCAGGACGATCTTCTTGTTGGGGTTGGTCTCCCGGATGTATCGCTCCACATCGGGGCAGCGGCAGGCCAACGGGTCGCGTGCGTCCAACACCTGGATGATCACGTCCGAGGCCTCCACCACCCGACGGAACTCCCGGTAAAAGGCCTTTCGGGAGTTGTCTGCGCGGAGTGGGTTGCGGGCGGAGTGGGGGCAGACGGGGTGGGAAAGACGAACCACGACGTGGGGCAAGCAAGGGGGAGGGGGGAAGAACTGGAGCACTTAAGCAACATGTCAACTGCCCCTGAGGGCCAAGAGGGGGTAAACCAGGCGGCGAGGTTAGCGATGTGGATGGCGGGGAGAGGTTGGTGCGTGAGGGCGTGCGGGCCCGCGTAGGGGAAAAGGAAGCCCCCTCCCCCATTCCCCCATTCTGGATGCTACACAAATGCTGCCCGCTACCTCGCCTCCCCCAACAGCCTGGAGGTGACCCCTACGGTTCAGGCTAGACGTGAGGCTCGCAGGCTGCCGCTCAACCAACCCGTCCCTGCAAAATAAACTGCCACGGAGGTCCAGGGCCCTCGTTTGCGACCTCCAGGCTAAGGTTATGAAAAATTAACTCGCCTGCGTCCCGGACTTTGAAGACACACACACATACACACACACCTGGCCGTTTTATCTACAGACTGGCCCAAGTCAACCTCAGTTCGGCCAATTGTATGTAATCAAGAGAAGAAAGCAGAAGAAGGCAAAGAGAAGAAAGCAAAGAGAGGGTCGCGGCGGGTCCCCTGGAGGTCCTGGAGGCTCGCACCCTCTCTTCCTCCTCCTCCTCTGCTTTCTTTGGGCCCCAGCCTCCCAGCCCATCGTCCTAGCATGTACCTTCCCCCACTGTGATCCCCAGCCTCCCAGCCTGCCAGAACTCTCTTTTTTCACCATGTTGTATGTGTCCCTGCGCCCTCCGGTTCGTACCTCGGTCGCTGTTGAACTCCTCGGTCAGTCGGGCCCTCTTGCGGGATTCGAAGTCCGCCTGCTTGTTGGCGGCTGAGGCCTGCAGCCGGGCCAGAGCCATCAGCTGGGCGGGGTCGCCGTCCCCAGCGTCCATGGCTGCCGTGTCCGCGGCCTAATGGATGCGCGGGTTGGGGGGAAGTGGAAGAGGGGGAGAAGGGGCTTGACTAGAAGTAATGTACAGGGAAGGGGTGCTGCAGGGCGTCTGGGCTTGGGAAGAAATTAGTGGAGTAAGTGTGGATTAGGTAGAGGAGGAGGGGTGGAGGAAGCGGTGCGGGTAGGGGGCGTTGGTACAAGGTGATGTGAGGGAAAAGACGTTGCAGAATGCATGCGAACTGTAGTGTATCATATGGACACGGGGAGCAGATGGGTTACGGATGACAATGCGCCACCCATCAGTAGGCAAGCGCGGTTCGCTGGCAAAATGCTTTATGGCCGCTGTTTCGTGGGGTGACGCCTTATTTGTCAAAGGTGGCCGCTCAGAAACAGAAGTGTGGAGTCCGTAACCAACAGATTACGCCGCCGCCGCCGCCAGCCCGGAACCAGACTGACATAGGTCTGAAAACAGACTTTTTGGAAATTGTTATCATACCTGGCGAGACAGCTTTCGCTCCTCCTTCTTGCGCTTCTCATCCGCCAATGCCTTAGCCCGCAAGAAGGCAAATTCCTTAACCAGCTCCTCCTTGTAGGGCCATTGTGACGGCAAGCCGGGGTCCTTCACAATCTTCTTCTTTTTGGTCCCGTTCTTGGCGGCCTTCCGCTCCTCCTTCCGCTTTTTCCGATGGTGTTCGCGGACCTTTCGGATAATTTTATATTTTTGTTTAAGCGTCATACGCTTAGACTTGGACTTCTTAGATTTCTTCGGCATGGCTGCAGATGTAAAGAAGCTCTTCTAGCAACTGAGGATTAATGGATTAGTTTCAAGATGATATCCAACTGCCGATAGGGTCAGTACACTAACTGTACCAATTCTCAAAGCCTAACGACGCTTATGAGACAATAGCCACATAGATGACGGAAACATCTACGCTCTACGGTTAATTGTTAACGACGAATGGACGAGCTCGTACTTTTGGACCGAAAACCTGGGCATCTGCGGTCAAACAAAAATTCAAGGGAACTAAAAACCTTGTTGTTCAGTCGCCTTTTACTGTAAAAAATTCTACTCCTGGATAGGCACCAATTAAGTGCTGGGCCTTGCATAACCACACATACGAACAGTTCCCGCCCCACGACTCTGCAATTCATCAACTCGTCACCCTGGCGCTGCGTTTCTCTGTAAAACCAGTGCCACTCAGCGCTTTCCACTCCCATCTTACGGTCGTGTGCGTCAAGAGGAACATCGCGGCTGCAGCCATGTCCAGCAAGCGCAAGGCCGAGGCGGAGCCCGCCTCACCAGGCGCTGGGCCATTAACCAAAAAGCCGGCGACATCTGCCGCCGCTGTCGCACTGGTCAACCCAAAGCGTATACGCGTGCTCAAGGAGGGAACCATCGGCAACGGTCCTGTCGTTTTTTGGTGCGTGCGCTGAACCCCTTGCACTGGTAGGGTGATCGCTTTTCCCCCTACTCAATAATTAGGCAGATGTAATCGGAGGACATTACATTAAATGCGGAAAGGAAGGCATCACAGGCGCTCTTCGGCTGTGGAGCTCTGGGAATGTGCCGCCCATGCCGAAGGGGATAGGAGTAGGGCTTGCAATCCCTGGAGCTGTCGGTCCTGATGCACTTGCGATGATGACCCATGTCATCCACAGCGGCTGCCCTTTTTTCCCCCTCAACTGAATCACGTCGCCTCGCGTCCAATGGCACCCCTTAAGATTGGCTGCCCTGCCTTTCTCTTCCACGTTGCTTATCCTCTTACCCCTCGTCATCCTCTTTTCCCTGACAGCCCTGAGCACACACCCCTTCCCCCCACATACACAACACACACGCACAAGAGACCGATGGGTAGCAACCGGGGCGTGTGTCTACCTGTTACCCGTTCAGGTAGAACATTGCCTATTATGTCCTACCTCCGTTTTTTGCATACCGCGGTTTTTCACTCTTCTAGCGATCTCCTATCACTCGCCAAGGTACCGTCGTAGACCCAAGCTAAGATCCAGACGCAGGTATAAGTCACGAGTCGCATTGGGGCTTCCCCAGCCGCCGCCACCTTGCCTTAGTCGGTCTGCCTCAAGCTCACCACAGCCTTGGTTTCGGCGCCCGTATGCAGGATGTCCCGCGACCAGCGCATAGAGGACAACTGGGCACTGCTGCATGCCATTGAGGTGGCGCAACAAAACCACCGGCAACAATCTGCGGCTGCCAGCAGCGGTGGCGGAGGTAGCAGCAGCAGTAGCAGCAGCGAGCCTCAGGTCGCGGTGGCGTTCAACCTGGTGAGGGTGTGTGGCTGTAAGCTAAAACTGATGCAAAATAACGCAGGGGCACGGGAGTGTACGGCATTCCTTCTGTTGCCGGTAGTTGAGGTTTTAGGCCTCAATGAAAGGTTAGGCGCACCCGCATAGCCCTCAAACTGGCGCGTGACAAGGTCGTCAGGCTGCCAGAAGCAGAGGAAGTCTGTCGCCTCCTTATGTACGGCATCGGGCACGTCATTGGTACGAACGGTTGTTCGGGTCGCGGTACGATGTGGCGATGCTAATGCTGGGGTCGCATGCCGCCTGGGCGACTGGGACCACCCCACCTTCCGGGGCCATCTTGTGCAATGTGCAACTTCGGATGACGAGCGGTTCATCAGGCGGACGGGTCGGCCTTCCGACGGCGCAGAGGGGTTGGGGACTATCTTCGTTGAGTCCACGCGACGGTGGGTGCAACACCACGTTCTTTGCGGACAAAATCGTATCGTTATTTTCCTTTCCTCAGCTCCAGAACCTCCCAGGAAGTCCCCCGCCCCCAGGAGAACCATCCGTGTGACCATCCCCCCTCCTGCCCCCCTCTCGCCGCCCTGGGCCGCAGGTTCCTGCCTTCCTGGGTGCGGGTGCCCGGCAGTTCGGGTTCATGCTGCGGGGCCTGAGGGAGCTCCAGCCCAAACTCGAGGCCAAGGGGATCGCCTTCTTCCTGCTCAAGGTGACAACCCACCACCCACGCCACCACTCGTCTCACCTCAGCCAGTGGCGAGACATCGGGCTCCACCCTCACACACCCACCCTCACACACCCACACTCACACACCCACACTCACACACCCACACTCACACTCACACGCGCCCACACCCACACTCACACACCCACACTCACACACCCACACTCACACTCACACGCGCCCACACCCACACTCACACACCCACACCCACACCCACACTCACACTCTCACACTCACACGCGCCCACACACGCGCCCTAAATATCTGCAGCTGGTACTTCTTTCGTTGTTTTGCACACACGATCTACCCCTCGAAGCAGCGTCCACCACCCACCACCCCTTTCTGCGCTGTCGCATGTCTACCCACTGACCGACCCACCGACCCAATATATTCCTCCTCCCTGCACTGGGCCTGTAGGGTGACCCCGCCCGGACGTTGCCTGATTTGGTAACCCGGCTGGGTGCTGGTCTGCTGGTGACGGACTACTCCCCACTGAGGCTGGGCCGGCAGTGGAGGGAGCAGGTGAGGGAGGGGAGGCAGGGTAAGGGGTTGGGCGAGGGGAAAGGGAGGAGGGAGCGGGGATATACCAAGACGATGGAGCAGATGCTCAGTCACAGCCCACAAACACTTTTCCTGCGGTTTCCCACCACCAGCCGCACCCACATGCGTTCTGTTTCCCTTCATGCCCCCCGCTTCCTCCTGCCCAGCCTTCCCTCTCGTCTTCCTCTTTACCCCTGCGCCCCCCTCGACCCCAGGTGTGTTCCTCCGTACCGGTGCCGGTCCACGAGGTAGATGCGCACAACGTGGTGCCCGTGTGGGTGGCCAGTGACAAGAGGGAGGTGGGGGCGAGGACGCTCAGACCCAAGATACACAAACACCTGCCGGAGTTCCTCACGGACTTCCCGGAGGTGCGTGTCGGGGGTGGCGTGTGTGAGGATGGGGGCGGCGTGTGGGTATGTGGGGGGGGTCGTATGGGTGTGTGAGGACCCGTGCTTGTGGGGGAGACCGTGTGTGTGTGTGGACGTGTATGTAGGCGCGAACGCGTGTGAGTCTGTGTGTGTGTATGGAGAGGTGCACTTTAGGGAACTGAGCCGCGAGGAGAGAGTGGCGAGTATAGTCGTGTGCGTAAGTGTGGAGGTGTGTGTGAATGGGTGAATGGGTGTGTTTTGGGGAAGCGCCGGGGGTCGGAGCGGACAGCTGCGCATGTGTCATATGATGGTTCAGTACAGCAATAACTGGGGCCCTCGACAGTGAAGGGCGGGGACGAGAGGCGAGCCGCTGTTACGGACGGGAGTGGTTGCGATAGGCAGTTTGCTAGGAGGCCTTCTTTTGCGACCAGCGGCTCACCGGGGCCGGTGCTGAGGATTGTTGTTGTTGGCGGTGGTTGTGGTGATGGGGTGGACTTGTTGATGGGACTGCAGGTGCCCCAGCTGCCCCCCTGGAGTCATGAGGTGAAGCCGGAGCCAGTGAACTGGGAGACTTTGTTGGAGGAGGTGCTGACCCGCGGGTCGGCAGTGCCCGAGGTGGACTGGTGCAAACCGGGTAGGGGTATAGCGAGCTAGAAGCTGGAGTTTGGCTGGGAGAGGAGTGTCGCGGGGGGCGACAGGGTGTTGGCTGGCTAGGGGGGGAACTGGCTTACTGGAGTGAATGGTAGATACACTGGGGGGAGAAGGATTCTGCCTTGTAGTATACGACCGCGGTGTGTGCGAACGTATGTGTGTTTATTTCCGGCTGCGCACCCACTCTGCCCCACCTCATCCACCTGTCCATCCCCACCAACACAAACACAACACCCTTGTCGTCCCTTCTACTTCCTCCCCCCTCTCTTTTGCACATACCTACACGTACACATACATACATACATACATACATACATACATACATACATACATACATACATACATACATACATACATACATATATATACATACATACACATGTACACGCACAGGTGAGGACGCGGCCCTTCAGGCGCTCCAAGGTCCCGCCGGCTTCCTCAGCTCCACCCGGCTCAGCCTGTACGACAGCAAACGCAACGACCCGGCCACCCCGCGCGCGTTGTCCAACTTGTCGCCGTACTTGCACTTTGGGCAGCTGGCCCCGCAGCGGGCGGCTCTGGAGGCAGCCAAGCACCGGGCAAAGTGAGATCTGGGGGGGGTTTAACCCCCCTACACGCACATGAACCCCGTGGGAGGGTACCGAGGCAGACGGAAAAGGGGGCAGGACAGGAGGAGAGCGCGAAGGGCGGAGAGTTTGGGATGGCTATCTGCGGGGCGTGTTAACGGGTTTCGGGCCTGCAGGGAGCCTGTGTTTCCCCAACAAGACGCTGCCCACGGCCACGTGCCGGATTGTGTTTTTCCCTGCTCATCACCCCGTTCCCCGGGTCTCTTCCCCCCTCCCCCGGGTGGCTATATCCACCTCATCCTCGTTTCCGCCCGTTCCGCCCGTCTCCCCCCCTCTCCGCTTTCCGGACCCCCGCAGGTTCAAGGCCGCCGTGGAGTCATTCCTTGAGGAACTGGTTGTACGGCGGGAATTGTCGGACAACTTCTGTCACTACACGCCCAACTACGACTCTCTGGCCTGCGCGGCGGAGTGGGCGCGGGAGACACTGGAGAAGCACCGGGGGGATAAGCGCGAGTTCCTGTACACACGGTACGGCAGAGGGCTCGGGGGAAACTGGATTGTAGCTTGGGGAGCGGAGTGGGGAGGGGATGCGGTGGTGAGGATGCGGGCGTGTATGGTTGGGGAGTGCAACGCGGAGTCTGTACGGCCGTCGAGATGACATGCTGAACTGCCGCCACGATGCCAGCGGCGTCCTGCGGTAACTCCACCGCTTGCTCCTCATGCTTTCTTCCCTTCCTTCCCCTTCTTCCCTGGGCCCCCCTTTCGGTCACCGGCAGTCCACTTGCCACTTTCTCGCATATGGTTTTACCTTCAGAGACTAACAAGGTAATCCTTACAACCTGGAAATACCCCTTACACACCCTTATACACACCCGTTGTACCCCCGGGACACCCCCGCAAGTGTCTTGGGGGAACCAAATCTCTTAAGTCCATGTGATCCCCAAGCCACCTTTCTCCCCCTCCGTTCCCCCCTTCCCTGCGCTTTTCGTTGAATGCAAAGGGTTGTCATTCCCTTTAGGAACAAATCCGAAGGGGGGCCGGCCAAAGGGTATCGGGCCACCCCTGGACTGACCGCCCTCCCTTCTTGGTAAAACCCTCCCCTTGGTAACCCCCCCACACACACACGTTCTTCCCTTCCGCCCTGGGCCTCGGCCCCCTCTTCCTCCGCCGTCGGCCCCTGCCAGGGAGCAGTTGGAGGCGGGTCGCACCCATGACGAGCTGTGGAACGCATGTCAGTGGGAGATGGTGCACGTGGGCAAGATGCATGGCTACATGCGGATGTACTGGGCCAAGAAGATCTTGGAGTGGACCCCTGGGCCGGAGGAGGCCATTGAGGTGCGGGGTATGGGTGGGGGAATACGGGAGGGCGGGGTCGGGGAGGGGGTGGAGTCACAAGACGCAAGAGAGGGATTCCGGGGACGGAAGGGGGTTACGGGGTGTGTCTGTGTCTATCTGTGTGTGTGTGTGTGTGTGTGTGTGCACGCGGTGACTACGTGTGCACGCGCATGTACGCGTATGTATTGTGATGAAGGCGCGCTGTGTTTCTGAAGGTGTGCCACTTCCACTGCTATTCATATAAGTGCCATCTTGGTTCATTCCTTCATCCGTCAATCAGATTGCCATCTACCTGAACGACCGGTACGAGCTTGACGGCCGCGACCCCTCCGGCTACGTCGGAGTCATGTGGAGCATGGCAGGCATACACGACATGGTAAGCGCGCGAATGCGAAGCACGACATCGTACAACATCCTTGCGGTACAAAGAGAACACTGCAATGAATGGGTTGTAGCCTGCTGTGTGTGTATGTGTGAGAGTGTGATCTGTCAAGCGTTGTAGTGGGTGTTAGTGGATTGGGAACATTAATGTATGGGGTGGTGGGTGGAGAGGTGGATCAGCCCCCGGTATCTCACCGCCCTAGAGAGGACAGGCCAAGGAAGGACTCGCCGCGGTGGACTTGCTTAAACCAGTACCTGTCGGCTGGCGTAGACAGCAATTACTTGGTTATGTCACGTCTGTAAAGGGTAATGTGGTTAATTTGGTTGTGAATTATTATTAAATCTGCGGGGTAGGAGGGAGGAGCCATTTACCTTCAATGGGGGATCGGAGCCTATGGGGTGACGAGCCAACAGAATTATTATGGCGGCTGGCGGTCATTGGCGCCATCCCGCCTTCTTCCGGGAGTCGCATAACTCGTCATCGCACCGCACCGCTCAGTTTCTTAGGGTTTCTGTGTTCTTGTAAACCCCCATGCAGGGCTGGACGGAGCGACCCATCTTTGGCAAGATCCGCTACATGAACTACAACGGCTGCAAACGCAAGTTCGACATCAAGGCTTACTGCGCCTATGTGGACCGACTGGTGGGGGAGGTCAGGGCCAAGCAGAGGGCTAAAGCCAAGGCCACCGCGGCAGCTGGGTCGGGGGCCGAAGCCGCGGCTGACAACGAGGCGCCAGTGGCGGCGGCGGCGGCGGCCGGGGTGGAAGGGAAGTCCGGAGCTGGCGGGAGCGGGGAGCTGGCCCAGAGCAGCAAGAAGGCGGGCAAGAAGTCGTCCGAAGTGGGTTCCTCGAAAGGGACGGGTCAAAGGAAAGCCGGTGCAACTTAGGATTGGTGTATGTGATGATGAGTGCCGCCACGCCGCTGCTGGTTTGCCTTCCCGAAGTCGTAATGCAATCTTGTTTTTTTCCTCCGTCTTTCCTTCCCCCCGGCGCCAAGCCCTGGACATACAGACGTACATGCAAATGTATGCATGAGGGGCGGAAAAGCGTTTTTCGTAAATGCCCACAACAGCGGAGGCGGCTGGGGGAGGTGCTTAGTACTGCCGCACATTATATCGTTATATCTCTGTACATGTATGTATGTATGTCCAATGGATGGGGTCTTTGAGCTGAGAGACGCTGCTGTACACGTATATGGGCTCCTGCTAACAACGCAGCCACCCAGCTACTACGGCACGCCGCAGCTGCCGCTGCAGGCTGTAACATGAACTGAATGTAACAGAATGCCACAGGCACGGTACCGGTCACTGCCTCCGCAAACCCCTCTGTGGCAGCCATGGCAACAAACAGGGGGCCTTGATCGCTCGTGTGTCCTTAACCACATGACGGACCCGGCCGGTGGGTCACTTGGTAAGAAGCGAGCAGTGCGGTCCTCTGTTACGGACGTGTGGTGTGGTGGTAAGGTCTTGGTTGTGGGTGCGGGAATGGTGACGTGGCGATCGTGGCCTGCTGCTTGACGAGGGATACTAGGATTCGATGGAGCCCGATTTGGGTTCACTGCCTGTGGTCGGGGGTTTCCCACTCCCTCTTTTGGGGATCGTGAAATGCAACTGTGCGCGAGTAGCCTGGGACGGGATTCCTCCTTGGGAGGGTTGTGAACATGGTGAGCTGTGAGTGAGGGTTTCGTGGGTGTGCTGGAGCTGCGTACCATGGCGCGCTGTTGCTTGGTACCGCGACTTGGTGCTGCTGCTGTATGTCCTCCTATGTGTTTCCGTCTATGTTTTATCTGTCGGTTAGCCTGCCTGCCTGTCTGTCTGTGTCTAAGTCTAGCTGTCCGTGTGATCAAAGTAAGTCAAAACTGTCTTGCTCTGTGATTCATTGACGGTATGGCATGGCATCCGGCTGGCTTTCGACCACGTGTGATGTAGTAGTACTCTTAGGTGGTAGTAGATGGTGGGTGCAGGCAGAATGACGAAAAAGAGATGAGAAAAGCGTCATATATTGCATCCGTAGAAGGACCGTGCCTGTAGGCTTTCGCTTCGCCATACCCGCGTGCATTGTGGAGTTGCACCACCTGCTTGCCTGCATTCCGGAAAAAGGCACAGGCATTACCTTCTTGGCAGTTGACGGTTGTGGGTTATGGGGCACGTGTGTGTGTGTGTGTGTGTCTTTTTTGTGGGGAGATCTTTGCTGAAGGAAAGGCCGCATGGTGGCGGCGTGTTGGGAATGTGGGTTAATGAGGCCCGGGGTTATGGCTAGCCCGTGGGTTGAACACAAGCGCACGCTGAGAGTGTAATGTAGGAATTTGGCCGACTGCAGGTAAAGGTGTTGCAACAGTGATGCTGATGGAATTGAGGTACGGCGAATCCAGCTGGCCAGTGGACCTGGATCTGGCAGGCCAGACGAACTCGCTAAACAGTGATATGCAAGTAATTATGACAACGAGTCGGCCGACGCACACGCTGAGTGGGGCGACTTCGGTGGTAGGCACTGCTCTAGCGCTGTGGGTATCTTTGTTCAGTTGTGTGACCAATGATACTTGCCTTTGGACCATTCTGCAGCAATATGTACGCGCCTTCAACCAACGAGGTCCACCTACTCAACCTCACCAGCCAGCCAGTAATTAGTAGCAATCAAGCCACTGGGAATAGCGGGCAGTAACGGCAGCAAGATACCGCAAACGCAACCTTTGCACTTGCCTGCACTTCATGCTTCCCCATAAATCAACATCATAACGGTAATGCGAACTCATAGATTGATGTACAGTAAAGCATAATGGAAGTTGTGCAGGGAAGATGCCCAAACATCGACCTGCAAAAATGGATGTGTACACTAGCCATTAAATTCCGGTGACGCTTGCCATAGGATAATAAGTCGAAGCCATGCGCCTCCGGCGTTCTTGCGAACTTGGCTACTTGTGCCACTTGGCCAGCCGACCAGGTGGCCAGCCGGTCAAGTGCCACAATATCCACAACAGCTTACATTACTTCTGCTGCTATTCTGATTTTGCAATTCCGAGCAAAAAGATTCGCCCAGGACCGGTACAGCTTTGCTCGTAGCATTTTCGCAGCTATTCGGTGGTGACAGCGAAGGAACGCGTGATTCTGCCGAACGCCTTAGCGACAGGGAGCCGAACAAGAGTGAAATTCCCGATCCTACAGGGATCGGGCATGGTCAGGCTCTCAGGGGCTCTTTGGATTAGCCCGAGCCAGAAAGTCAGCCTGACCCATCCTAAACACTAAAACCTAAAATTTTCGTCCTCCATAGTTTACTTGGTATTGGTTTAAACAGGTTGAGGCTTGGATTTTTTTCTTCGCTGTCGAATGGTTGTATGTCCTAGAGTCACCTGGATATGCATTTAGAGCGGTTGGTCAACCGTTGCGGAACATTACTGTGAAGAATGTTCTTAGCGCCTTCATCTCTTGCGGCGGACAATAGGATACAGAATAAAAGATAATTTCATTATTTGCTGTTTCATTGCGGAGTAATCCAGAAACGAAAGGCAAAACGACGTGCCAGCTGATCCGGTCGGCACTGAGAACTCAACAACGTTATCTTCGTCAGTTAACAAGCTGGACGAAGTTCATATTTCTGCGATCCGCAATCCTTCGATGTCGACTTTCCCAGGTTGTCTATTCGCTGGGGAATAGCTCCCTAGGTACCAGCCGAGCACTGCCGCGCGTGCAACGGTAGTTGGTAGTACTTTACTGAGGCTGCTGTGTGATACTCGCCCAGGCAGCGTGCACATCAGCTCTAACGGATTTGAAAGAGACGTATAGAGCATTTACGGTGGCCTATCCAAATGCCAATTGGTCGGCAGGTTTCGGCATGGCATCGGACTACAACAAGGTTATAAAATCGCAAATTCTGTTAGGGGGGTTAGGATACCCCTCTAGCTGTGTAAAAAGATCTGGGGAACGAAGCACTAGAGTGACCCATCGCCATATAGCCGCATGTCGCAAACACCCCACTGATGCCACCACAATATGGAAGTTGCTTTCTGGCAATACTTAAGCCGACTCGCAATCATGAAATGTTTGCACTCTACTTCTCGTAAAACATATGCAATCGGAGCTTGCAACTTGTTCCTGGTAATGGTGTGAGGGTGAGGGCGGACGCAGAATTGACGCAGTGCGTATCCACAGATCCACCCCATATATCCACCCCATCAGGTTAAAGGTTTTTCTACGATACAAGCAGAGGAAAGCCGCGACAGCCATGGCATCTGTCCTTAGAAAACTTTGATCAATCGTTGCCCGATTCAAGCCACAATACCAACAAACGACGCCTTGCACCAAAGTGAGTAGCAGTATCGCAAGCACGCACATGTTCCCTCGCTTCCCTGGAGCTTCCCCGCCTAGCTAGGTGTCCTGAGCCGTCCGAGTCACCCTGTGCCATTACAAGGGCCACGAAGTTGTAACCGTACGTACGTGTTGATAATGATACGGGACGGACCTGTACGGGCATCGAGTCTTTTCAAGCCAGCAGCGGTTAATGTCCCTATATGTCGCGTTTAAGCTGTGACAAAGCTGACACTCGCTGTGGCGTGAGTGATAAAACAAATAATCTCTGGACAGTAATTTTTCATTGCAGGCTAAATAGACCGCGCAGTATTTCGGGGATAATTTCCAACCGCTGCCTCTCGGGGCATGCTAACGGGTCACTGCGATCGACATGCAACGTCTCGGAATACGGGCTTAGGAAAAATTGATAGAGTTACCTAATTACCACGTTAATTAGGCGATACATGCACATGTACGGTCAGGAAAAGCTAGCTTAGCATGTAATGCCTAGGAGCGGACGCCGCAGAGGTAGTACCGACAAGGCCGGGAGCTTATAAGGCCCACTGAAAGCTAGCATAAATATGCATAGACGCTTTCCTTTCGAATAACTGTCATTTACAATTACTTGTTTTTGCAGTACTCTATATCAGTTTGGTAAGAGATGTTCCGCGATCGTCTGATGTCGGTCGCCATCGGTACAACTACCTTGTTACTTGCTTGCGGGTAAGTGTCTGGTAAAGATGTAACATGCCTGAAAGATTTTTATGGAATTTCAATTGGAATTTGTGCCCATCTTGGCTATGCTAATACCTCATGGATGAGGTAGGCCAGAAGCCTCGGCAAGGCCCGGCACCTCCGCTGGCTACGCGCCACATTCAAGTTTGCGAATCTAGTTCCTTACGGAAATATTGCAACGGCTGTGCCGAGCAGCGCGCTCACCTGTCTGACGTAAACTTACCTTGTCGCTTACTATGCGCGGTACCGCACCTACGCGTTTCTGTGCAGGATTCTCGGCTTTGCGAATGCGCAGGATATTGCCTTTCGGCAGCAGTCTGGGGAGATCGCCAATTTTCCCTATCGAGATTGCACCACCGCGCGCGGCGCGTACAGCCTAGCGCCAGACGTGGCTTCCCTGGGAGGTGGCAAGTACTGCTTCACAATCCAAGTTGATCAAGGCTGCTCGGGCCCCTGCTGCTCCACCGACCTCCAGAAGATAGAGGTGCGTTAAAAAGCCGGCCGTCGCCGGAACTATCTTAGTTCGCTGATTCCCCTTTGTGAGTCATGTAGGTGAATTTGAACTTTTATTATCGTTTTGTTCATCTAGGCCAACGCCGCGATGGTATCAGGGGCTTAAGCGAGCTTGCTGGGTGTTCGGTCACCGTCCTAGGTCGTACTGGGAAGTCGCTCGCGTTCTGGCAAGTCTTCATTGTTATTGGTGTATCGGCTTTTGGACTAGTATTTTTTGAGGCTGCTTCCATTAGTTATTATACGCCCTGTTCCACGCATCTGTGCTTCGCCCGGTCGGACGGTTGGTTGACGCTAGGCTAATTTGATTCGGACACGTGTCAAAGTTGCATCACAAGGCATAACTGATTCTTTTATAATTAGAAGTATTATTCATGCAGGCCTGCACTTCGGGAGACTTTATGGAGGCAGCAGTTATGAGATGATTAGAACCAACGTTGTACCTTCAAACATTGCAATACATACAAAAAAAGGGAAATAATAACATTTTATTATTTTGTCCTATTTTATTTTACTATGAATCGTTGCGTCTCGTCGTGCGTTCGCAATAATTCACTTCCGAGGACGCGGAAGACCGGAAGTCCCGAAGTCAGGTGCCTACCAGATTTAAACTAATCTAGCCACGGCATTATGTTATCTATATGCCACTCAGGATATCTAATCGTTTCGTGCCCATGCCCTACCTACCAACCTTCCATCGCAGTTCGATGTATCCAGCTCCTGCCTAGTAAGCGGCGCATCCGTCATTGCCACAATCAACGGAAAGAGGACTCAGATTGGCGCGTCCTTCGATAAGCCCGAGATGGGACCGCCCGGCACCGCCATTCTGCGAATCCCCCAGCTGGGCCTCAACAAGACCACCGCACAGAACGCAGAGCTGTGCATCACCCTCAAGCCAAATAATGCTGGCCGGGGCTGCACCACGCTGGAACAGCTGTGTTCGACACCGTCGGGTGGCTGCCCGGGTGCTTGCTCCGCTGCTTTTTTCGACACACCCTGCAAGTGCTGCCCCATCTCGAATACCCGTGGGAGATCTTGCACACCGTTGCCGCCTCCGGACCCTCCAGTGTTCTGCACCAGCCAGGTCTGTTATATCGCAGAGCTGGAGCCACCCACTCCTGATGTACGCCCCTACCGCTTCGACGACGCCACCTGCACCAGCCTCAAGGTGCAGCTTGGAAAGGCCTCGCAGGCAATCAATGTAGGCAGCGATACCCTCGCCTCCTACTTGGACTTGGTTCTTCGCGTCTGTGAGGGCACTCGCGTGGTCATGTGCAGCAACTTTACAGAGAGCAACGTCACGGATGCGGCCTGGAAGACGGCATTCGCTGGGGCAAACACGGAATTGGTAACATTCTTCCTCAGCTTGATCAGCGGGCCCACTTGCCTGCCCGAGCTGGACGGATATACAATCCGGACACGCGCCAACTCCGAGAAATGCGTGTTATTCGACGAGGAGCGGAGTATTCCTTGCGTTCCACCGCCTGGCGTTAATTGCTCGTGAGTCGAATGGGCCCGATCGCTTCCAACAGCACGATGCTGATGGTGATGATAGTGGTGATGCTCGGGTTGGGGGGTCGAGCATCTCATGGTTATTTGCGTTCTTTGCCTTTGAGCCGAATCTTGAATCGATGCTGGGTGGCTGGGAGGTAGGTAGGTAGGTAGGTAGGTAGGCTTTGCGCCCTTATGGATCTCCGGTGGAAACTTGCTGGTAGATGAAGCGTCAGTCCGCAAGGCCCCTTCGGCCGTACGCGTCTCAGATCCATCCTTTTGGGATCTATCACATTCGTGCTCGATACCTATATACATACCCATGGCCTGCCTGCTACAGAAATATGAAAGGAATAACCTTTTACGGAGCTCAATCAATGATATTCATTCGTTTGCATCCGCTTCGATTCCCCCTCGTTGTTGCAGGTGCGATGTGAAGCAGGGGGTCCTACCATTCGTGGTGGGTGCACGCTACGCCCCCGCGGCTTCATTACCGCCCTCAAAGGTCCCCACAACCGACTACTGTTTTACGATTTCAACAACAACCAACATCGCTCCGGTGCGTGGCGCGTGAGGGCTTACGGAACAAACTGGGCCGTGAGGGAGAAAGGAGGGTTTAGCTTCACACGCCGGCGTTTTATTCCTGGTGAATCTTTCCAATCCTTTGTTTAGGAGTATCGCACACAAATGCTTTCGTTCAACCTAGCTTGATTGTCTGCGCCCACCAGCCAGTCGCATCTATTAGAACCTGCTGGACTCAACGGTAGCGCCAAACCTACTCGTGGTCCTTCACTGCCCATCGTCACGGACCAGCTTATCATTCCTCTTTGCCTTGGGGGCTGCAGCAGTAGCTATAAACGCGGCGGCAGTGTAAGGTTCTGGACGCCAACCGCTACTGCGCATCTTGAAGCCAGCCCTTGTTAGACCGGACCGAGCGTTAATTTATACCACAAGCAACAACTCATAACACGTACACGTCGCCCGTCGACCGTTTCCAACGCATCGGCATGCGGCCCCAAGAGACCCCTTAACTGCAAACCGTTCACTGCCCTCCTTCGCCTTGTAGAGCAACTGCACCAGTATAAGCACGATCGGCAAGGTCGAGCTGATTGCAGGTTCGTACGTAGTATGATTGTTTCGTATGTATGTCTGTGTATGGTCCTTTCTTTTCACGTCGAAGGTGTACGTGGCTATTTTAATGCTCGTCGCGGTGTATAGCAAGGGCGGCGTTTCTCGCCAGCCATGAGCCTTCCAAGCTGAGACCGTCGGCAATAAGGGGCAGGGAGTTGTCCCCTTCCCTCTCCCATCCTCTTTCCCCCATGCTGAGGGCGATTGTGGGCTGAAGCTTCGCTCCTTTTGCCGTTACAAGGCACAATTCTTTCCTTCCGTCCTGACGTAGGAGAGGCAAAATGCGATTGTTGCACATTATACAGAATCGCATCGCATGTGCGATGCCTCGTGAAGCGTCTTCCGTACACGTGCCTCCCCCGCCCGTGTGTATATGCCGCCTGCTTTTGCTTATATCCTGCTGCTGCTACTGCTGCTGCTGCTACTGCTGCTGCTGCTACTGCTACTGCTACTGCTACTGCTACTGCTACTGCTACTGCTACTGCTACTGCTACTGCTACTGCTACTGCTACTGCTACTGCTACTGCTACTGCTACTGCTACTGCTACTGCTACTGCTACTGCTACTGCTACTGCTACTGCTACTGCTACTGCTACTGCTACTGCTACTGCTACTGCTGCTGCTGCTACTGCTGCTGCTGCTACTGCTGCTACTGCTACTGCTACTGCTACTGCTGCTGCTGCTCCTGCTACTGCTACTGCTGCTGCTACTGCTACTGCTACTGCTGCTACTGCTACTGCTGCTACTGCTTCTGCTACTGCTGCTGCTGCTGCTGCAGATCCATCCCTGCGGGCCTTTGTTAGAGGCTTCACCCTGTACCTCAACAACGGCACCAGCACTAAGATCTCTCCTACCTGGGGCTCCAACACGCTCCGCGGTACGATGGCTGGCTGGCTGGCTGGCTGGTTGGCAGGAGGGTTGGCTAGCTGCTGATTGATCGTAGGATTTATTGATGCAATATGGGAGCAAGGACAGAAGGTGCAAGGCAGGCCCAGCAGATGGATGAATGGAGAGGTGGCTGGCTTGCGATGATACGGTACATCATGCAGGTCCATTTTCTGGGTGATCCAAGCGACTTCCTTAATCCTTAATCCATTTTCCCAAAGCCATAATGTCGATGTTCGTGGTGCGCCTTCCCTAAAAAGCCGACAAGATGTGTGTAGCGACTGCCCTTGCTTCGTTGGCGGGGGAAATAAATGCTGACAGCGTTGCCATCCCTAGTGCTCCACTCACCTCGCTCCGGCTGCACCCTCGCGCTATGCTGTGTGTTCGCTGCTGCCTTGCCGCCCGAACCTCACCCGCAGCTACCAACTTGCTCTGGTCGGTGGCAGAAGCCGACGGCGCGCGGGTCTGTGTAACGCTCCGAAATCCCGTGACTATGATAGACATCTGCCAAGGCACTAGGTGGTAAGTGGCGACGCTATGCGAACTTCTAATAGGACAGGAAAAGGTTAGTTCCGGCGGCCACATGCTCTCTAGATAAACACAATACTTAAAGCCACCTTCATTGTTATTGCAAATATAGGTGCACATTCACTTCGCATGGTCATTCATACATGTCATGTATGCGTGCGTGTAACCCAGCACGCTTTACCTGATGGTCCGTAAGGTGCGGTGCCAGTAGTGCTACGACTCCGGCACATCTAGACCGCCTGCGTCCGGAACAGGCCCTAAAATTCGAATAGGGACAGTTTACATGACGGGTGCTCCCTCTCTCGCGAGTGCGCACTTGTATGCAAGGACGTGTACCCCCTGTTGGACCACTTTTCCTCCACGGTTAGGAAATTGCCATGTACATACATACGTACATACACATGCACACTCCCCCGTCGCATGCCACTGAAACTCAATATTTTTGCGTGTCAACGCCCACCACCCGTTGCCTAATAATGCCACTACTGCAGCACTGTCAGCGTCTTCAACGAGGACAAGGACTGCTGCCCGCTGTTCTATTCAGGACCTGTGTAGTGGACCTTGATCTTGTTGAAGATAGCCATGCGCTCAGGCAATGGGGGAGAAGCCTATTTGAGAAGCCTACTTGTTGTTTCTTGTGTTTCGTAGTAGTAGCGCGTCACGTTCAACAATTATTGAACGAAAACCATTATAATGGTCCAGCTGCGGGGCCCTGAACACACGAACCCAAACAAGGCGCTGCGCCGCGCACCCGCATAAGCGCGCTGCAAATGCATACGTACACTCTACGGCACTGGACAATCGGTCTCGTGCTATCGAACAGTTTTGTGAGTGGCTGGTGTGCCTGCCGGGGGTGCGGTGAGATAGTCCGCTGCGAAGATGACGATCACAGATTATCGTTTCATTACCGCACTACTCGCCAGGCCCCCAGCCCGCTGCTGAACTTTTCAAGCAGCTATACCTGATTAGTATAATATAACCCCTGAAGAAGTGCATGGCGTCCAATTGGGCTGCGCATAACGGTTTGGGCCACCGGGACGCTTGCATTCAGCGTACGCGCAGCGGCCGGAGGCCGCAAAGGCCTCTGGCGGGGCACATCATCATCAGCGTCTATAATGCTGTATGAATGTGGCGTACTTTACGACAGCTGTAATAGAGCGAACCCTTCCAGTCGCTGCAAGGTTCGGTGGGGGGGTCGTGAGGCTCCTCCTTGATGTTTCGTTTCGTTGGAGATGTATTTAATATCATCTGTTTCGTATTATTGTCGCATATATATGCATGTGCATATATGTATGTATGTATATGTGTGTATGTGCGTATATATGTCTCCTTGAGGAGCGAGCGAGCTGGTCGTCCGGGATAACGTATACCCAGCAGGTGCCTTCTGTACATAAGTTTTATTGGTCACCGATTATTTGGGCTCGCCGGATGGTTAAGTACCACTGCTATTGAAATGCTCCTGGCCTTGCCTCTGCCTTTTACCGATTGCTTGGATCTTTGCTCTGGATCGAGGACGATCGAGCGACGACAGCTGTAGCTTTGTGCTGTATGTCGCTGTATCAGGTGCTGAAAGTAGATTGTATACAGTACTGTGATATCGCTTCCATGTAGATCATCATCATCGTGCAAGCCATGCAAGCGCAATATACCGCGTTCCCACGTTTATACATGTATATACAACAGGCATACCAGACTGAGCATTTTTAGCATGCACGAAGGGACCGCATGCGCGGACTCAAGAGTGTTGGGGTGTGCCTCGATTGCTGTAAATGTACTTCAGGATGAGGGCTGCTTCTCAATATCCCTTGACTAACTTTGTGTATATCGCATGGGCGTCCCGTCATGGTATCAGGTTATAAACATTACATATTATCCAGTCTTGTTGCCTAGCGACCGGACGAAGGACAGGATATGATAAACCCATGCAAGTGAACGTCCCCCGTTCCGCTCATCGCCATTATCACTCATGCCATTCAGTTGAGGTTGCGGGTTGCGGCGGGCATTTCAAATTGCACTTCAAAGGTTTACAAGGAGGGGCCCACTGGGTCAGCCTGCTGGGCCATGATGTACAACGCGGCTCAGGTAAACGCTGGAACGGTTGGCCTGGTGAGCCAGACGTGCAACCCATCCTGGCCCATCCGAGCACGTTCACCCAGCACGTTCC